TTTTTTTTTTAAATCGTTGTCATTTGGAAATGAGATCGCACATAAGTATGAATCGAGATCACGATTTTCTAACGATTAATCGTGCAGCTCTAACGAGCAGACAAAAAAATCAGATTTGATCAAAAAATCGGAATTGAGCATTAAGACCTGCAGTGTGAACGTAGCCTAAGCTGACCACACAATGGCCCTAAAACCCAAAGTTTCCAATCTTCAACTAATTAAAAAGTGCATAAACTATCGAATAGTACTGTAAAAAAGAAAAAGACCTAAATCTCAAAAAGCCGCAAAACAAAATAAAAAATAAAACTATTGGAAAAGAGACTCCTTTTCTCCAGACTCGCTTAAATTGGTTCAGTTGTGTCCTTGTCTTTGCTTCAGTGTTTCACGCTCATATTTTAAAAGAGACTTTTGAATTTCTAGCACCTAAACTTTGAAACAGACATCCTCAGTTTATCAGATCAAATGAATCTGTGGTTTGTTTTAAAGGCTGCTGCCTGTTGTCTGTAGCCTTTTGTTCTCCTAATATGCGTGTAAAGAACTGTGTATGCATGAAAGACTGTGTTCACATGTATAAATATGTACACTACTTTTTAATGTGTAATGTTGTTGTTGTTTTTTATCCAAACTTTGAAGCACTTTAAAACTGTGTGTTTTAAAATTTTATATACGTTATTATTATTATTATTATTATTATTATTATTATTATTATTATTATTCCAGTGCGTAATATCCTTGGTCCCCTACTGTACTTTCCCCTCAGTGCCCCAAATTTTCTTTCATTCCTTAACCTAGCTGACCCAAATTTCCTGTGCCAAGTGAGTGTACTTTTCAACTTATGCTGTGGCTAAAAGTCATACCCTAACACCCAATCTCTACTTGTTCTTGCTGACTGGGTGCCATCATTGTAAGCTCTTGTGACTCGGTGGTGGGCTCCACAAGACGAAGCTAGACTGAAGTGCATTGCTTCACTGGGATTAGGGATTAAGATTTCCCTGGCTGCTTTGGTTGAGTAAATCTGGGGATTATGATGTCGACAGCCTGTGGCTGCAGGAGAGGAAATTGAATTGTGACGGACGGAACACCGATGGCCCAGAATTACAGCACAGTGAGTGAGAAGTCAGAGATGGGAGTCCGTGTCTGTGCCTTTCTCCTGCTCAGGAAAACCTCCGCTGGATACCATTTACTGCCTTAGGGGTGTAGGGATTGCTTACATAGCAGAATCAATCTGAGTAGATGTTTAGGATGTTGATTGTGTGCTAAGAAGATTTCTGTGTCACTGGTAATCCTGCTCTGACCTATGAAGCATCAGGTGGTGAGTACTGTGAACTGCAACAGGAAACACTTACATATTAACCAAAGGATTTCTCACTTGTTGTACAACTGAAGTCAGTGTTAAAGACAATATCTTGTCTCTATGTGTGAGACTCCAAAAACATGAGAAGCTGTGTAAATCTGACGGTGTAAGATAACAAACTGACACATTCAGTGCCAACTTACTGTGTTCATGTGTGCCTGTCTGTCTGTGCATAAGCCAACCCCTGCTGTTGCTCCTCCTGCTGCTGCTGCTGCTGCTGCTGTTAAATTCGAAGGACAAACTAAAACCAGCAGGATGAAGGTGAAATGGACCCAGCTGGGTTTGGTGTTCTTCCTCATATTGTCACTGGTGATGACAGGATGCTTCTTCTGGCAATATCAGATGCCAAAAGTCCAGCCAGGTGAGAGCACGTGATTGGTGTCCGGTGAATAAAAACCTCAAACGAAGCACATTTATATTGATTAACATTATATTAATTATAACACAGATGCAAATAAAAAAAGTCACAATTTAGGGATTTTATACAGGCTTTTTTTTTTTAATAGTTATTTAGGTCAGGCTAAATATTGCAATTAGCCTCCAGACTGTGAGCTGTGGATTATTTGAGATTTCAAGCACTCTCTTGAGACTTGAAATAAAATAAACTGTCTTTCATGATATGATTTTTCACACAAATTGCACAAAAGTATTATACTTCTGAAATGTGTTTGACGTGATTTGAGTCACTCAAGTCTTGCCTTAGACAGTTTGCCTTAAAACTGTCTAAAAAGCAACTGGAGAAGCTTTTTTTTTTAAATCTTCACTGTGCTTTCTTTCTGGACAAATGATTAATATGCACTTGGTTACAGCCAAATTAATCATTTGACAAGCAGGTCCTCAGTGTGCTATCCAGTTACAGTCAGCTCCTTATGTACATCCACTAAATGCCTCTTTCTTATCTGATGTGAATGCAAAAATGAGACACTCAAGATATACAGATCTCTTAATTATGAGATAAAACAATCTCATAATTGTATGATCTTTATCTTGTAATTATGAGATGTACCAGTAGCTTTCTTAGTGGGAGCATTTGTAGCATCATTGCAAGTTCAAAATCTCAGAAAGCGGCTTCAGGTAAGGTAAGCTAAGAACTTTAATGCAGTAAAGCAAACCCAGCACAAGATATGTAATGTGATTCTACATCAATAAAGAGGATATTAATGGGAAAGGTCTTTTGAAAGAAATCAGCTCTTTAGAATTAAAAGGGAAATAATAAATCCATTAAAATATTACATTAATGCATGACGCGGTCACATGCTTTTTGATGAAAGAGTTATGTATCGCACGTTTTGTGAAATTGGATCCTATAAGGTTTATAAGGTTCATTAAAAAAAGCAGAGAATTATTGAACCACCAGCTCACTTAGACTACATTATACTTGCCCTGTCTGACAGTATCAAGTGGTGATTCCAGTAGTCTACCCTCTCCCTCTGCTCTTTATTTCTCTTTTCCCCTTGTACTGTCTATACCACCCAGATGAAGGAATGGGTCGCAGTGCCAAATCAGAGATGATGTGTCCCCGTTTCCCAGAGCCTCTACCTCTGGAGCATCCTATCCCCAGTCTAAAAGAAGCATTGGAAAAGGTGATGTCATGCACAGACCACAGACTTAAATCTGCAGGCGCTTTTCCAGCATGTCCATTTAAGTCGGAGTAAATTTACAGGCTGGCCGGTAATCCTTAACACCAAATGTCGGTTCAGTTGACAGAGGGAGATTAAAGACATAGTGGATGAAAAATCTGAGTCTGTCTGAGCAAAAGGTTGTGTTACTGTAGCCAGGAGGTTGCACTGTAGCACCCACTAGAGAATTTGGGAATGCAATGTAGTGGATGAACATAACTGCAGTAACCACAGAAATAAACTGAAATGAGCATAAAGTCTGGTAAATCTAAGGCGGAGCAGATGATTGCCATTTACACTTTAGTTTGTATTTTCTATCATTTGAGAAAAGCTTATTTTACTGTAATCTCAGCAGCCACCAAAGCCAAACAGAAAATGGATAAAAGACATGTGAACATTTGATCTGATTACATTGAAAATGTTCTTGTGCTAACATTGCCACCCTCTCACCTGTACATACTAATGTAGTGTAGTAATCAAATTCAGTCATTTCTCCTAATTAATGTAGTAAGATAGCTATACCATACGCTTCTTCTGGGGTATACTCTCAGCAGCATATTAAACATATCAGGTCCCCATAAGGAGAATCATGTGCTAAAGGCTGTCTAAATGACTCGGGTAAAGTTTGTAGCATGCGTGCTTGTTTTTGTCTGCTTCCACTTGTCTTTGCACTAGGATGATGTCAGCGTAAATGTGCTGTCATATTCGTTGTGTTCCCACTAGTGCTGTCAGTGTTAATCTCGTTAAAATGACGTTAACGCCATAACGCGGCAAATCTCCGTTAACGAGTTACCCCAGTGTGTGGGGCTGGACCGTGTCAACACGTTAAAAAGCTAACTGCGCTAATGCACTGCGTGGCACATCCGACATACTGTTTTACTTTTGTCCATGACGCGCTTACCATCAGGGTCATGCTTCACATGAAAACCAAGATAGTTCCAAACGCCAGATCTGAATGAGGGTGGGGGAGGTTCAACTTCGGGTAGCGTTGAGGCAGTTGCCATGTTGCAACGAGCTTAACTTCTGTCTTGCTAGCTTGCGCTGCGCTCAGTGGATCTGCCCTCGACAGTGCAGCCTAGGCGGAGTAGTCGAAGGCAGATCCACTGAGCTCTCAACACAGACAGCATCATCAGAAGAAAAGTTGATAAAATAAAAAAAAAAAAATGTATTGTTCAATACAAATGCCTACTGAACCGAAAGCACTGTATCGAACGGTTCAATATCGATATGAGTATTGTTGCAGCCCTAATAGATAGATAGATGCCACCTTCGTATCTTTAAAATAAAGTTCTAACATGAAGCAAAGAATAGGAAGTTCATTAACTGGAAATATTTTGGAACTAACTACTCACTTCTTGCTGTGTCTCACCCAGGTGGACGTTTTGCTTCGGCAGACCATCAACCCTATCAGCCTTCCTGCCTTGTCGGCCATCGTAATCCTAAATGACACTGTTTTGTGGACAGGCAACTTTGGAAAGCGGAATGCCAGCGACCCTCACTCAGGACCAACAAATGAGTACACAATCTACAGGTGAGTGCCTTAAAGCTCATTCATAGGTCTTATGATCCTGTCTATAAAAGTCCAAACTTCATTAAACTGCTTGATTAAAGAAGAAAATATTGAAAATATAAGGAAATATTCATAACAGCTTGTGAATAGAATAGTCTTCCCTGGTCCACAAAAAATAATGACATAATGATAATGAGGTGTACATTACCTGTTCAATTATATATTCTTGGAGCAGCAGCTGGAGCAGGTCCTTTATAGAAATCCTATTAAAACCAAAACTAAATTAAGCTGTTTTCACACAGGCACTGCAGCCCCGACCTTTTCTGGGAGTTACCCGACAGAGGTGCAAATGTCAGATCAGGCATTAGCCACTCTTTACCCTAACCAGCTCCCCTATACAGAGTCCATGTCAAATGTGTGAATACAGCAACCGATATAGCAGTCCAGTGTGTGCATCATGTGTTTGCCTGCCGCACACAATATATAAGCAGTATTTCCAGTCCCACATGAATCATCAAAAAGTGTCTGAAGGTCAAATGTGAAAGCATCTTTAAATTTAATATCATTATAGTTTGTTTATTTAGCTCTAAACTAGTCATACTTACATACAATGAGTCCAAGAGTCTTGGAATCAGAGATAACATATGTATGTGTTTTCAAATGTGAACTTCCTTCAAGCTCATTGAAAGTCTCACATTTATAATTCAGAAGGCATGACCTCTGTCTGATCTATTGCCAAACAGCTGATGCCATCTTTTGTTACTAAAATGTTAAGTGCTACTGCTTCCACTATTAATGTCACAGTCTGCAGCTCTGCTGGCAACAGGCCCGCTGCTCATGTTTCCGCAGACCTGCCCTGCAGCTGTTTGCCAGATGTCCTCGGGCTTTCCCTCCAGTTCTCTTAACCTGACTACATCACTTCAAAACACTAGTTCCTAGTTGTCAGTGGCTCCAAGATCCCCCCCCCCCCCCCCCCCCCCCCCACACACACACACAACCACAACCACATCGTTCTTTTGTGCTCGTTAAGCTTTTCAGGAGTTTGCTCGATTGGTTTCTTGCAGCCTGTTAGTTCCAGCTGCTGATTGCCGAATGCCTATTTATTGGAACTGGCTGCTGCCTGTAAATGTCTGATTTAGTTTACCTGTTGTGGATGCCTTCTATGGTGCTGACCCTTGATGCACCCACTGCTGCTACCTGGGTAACAGGTGGAGGGCTAGATCATGTTACCAAACAATTCAGCCAGCACACATCTGGATAGTATCAGTGTCATGACAGTCCACACTAGCTCAAGAGGTTAAGTGACATGAGATCAAAATTTATAACTTCTAACAATGTTCAAAGTCAAAAAATGCAGCAGATCAGATTTTCATGATTTTCTTTGTTTCTTTTGTGTTTTTAATCAAATAATTTTCTATTTCAGTGGAAACATCTCCTCTTGTTATCCATGCAAACACAAGCAGTTTGTGAAATACTCAAGGGATCATGCACTACACATGCAATTCATTCATTTCTGTTTCTAGACCATTACTTTGTGTTCTGGGGCATTAATTGTACTTATTTATTTATTTATTTTACTTGAACGTTTTTCATCAGACCTGTTTAATATCTATGCCAGTGCTGAGGGTGAAAAGTTAAAGTTTTACAGCACTTTTAGAATACTTAATTCAGCTGTACTTAGTGGGAAAGCAGCTAATCAGATGAGATGATTAGCTAACTTCAATCCACCCATTTTCTTAACCACGTATGAGGGGAAGATGGGGCATATCCCCAACTGTCATAGGTGGAGACACAGGGTGAATCCTGGACAGGCTGTCAGTTTATCACAGCGCTAACACACAGAGTAACCAATTAATTTGATAAGCAATAATCTTTGGACTATGAAGCTGGAGTACCCTGAGAGAACCCACAAGGGGAGAACCTTCAAAATTGGCATTAACAGCTAAGGATGATGCGAAGATCTACTTCCAAAGCTATCACAATTTATCCTCTTGGGATTTCATCCAAAGGTGGTCACAATTTGTCAGGTTTAACTAAAGTAATTGACCATTTTCCAGAATGCCAGTGTATCTAAAATTGGACTCTAACACTTACCTCAAAAAGAAATAGTCGAACCATGAAAAAGACCTTAGAAATGTTACCTCACTTATTGCTTTAAAGAGGTATAAAGCTGGAGGATTTGAGAAAGACAGATGAGTCAATCAATGAAAGCCTCCAAATCGGACTTTAAGTTGCTAAGCTGGCGTCCTTCGTTTTAACTATAGAAATGTCAAAGGTCTTTCATCAGACCCTCTTTGCCCAATACATGCTGTAATCTGAAACCCCAGTGTTCAAGTTTGTAAAGCAGTCTTTCTCTTAAAAACCCAATGCTAGAAAAATCATTACATGATAAAAGGTTATTGTCTCACACTTAAGAAGTTTTCTCTTTATTTACATAACAAAGCCCAATTTTTAGTTATCACTCAGTTAGAAAAATACTAAGAGCTAGTCGAATACACAAGTACAGTTTATTTTCTAATGAATTACCAGAAATGTATTTAAAATCAGTGTACACCCATGCTTTCCACTGAGCCAAATTGCTCTTCAGTTTTGTGCTGATGGACTTCTTCTATCCACAGTTTCAAAAAATTAACCCACATTGAAACAAAATACCAAAAGATGTGAAAAAACTCTAATTGCAAGATGTCTTAAAGTTGAGAGTGTACAAAAAGATCAGTGATCAAGTAGAAATGAGTGAAAACACAGATGCAACGGTAATCAGGTGGTACAAAATAAGCCACAGTGCGACTAATCAAAGCTGAAGACGCCGTCTTCCTAAAATGACACCACAGACAGTGCAATCTGTAGCTCGACAGGCAGTGCTTTAGATTTGGCACAGCAGTCACCAGTGGAAATCAGAGTTTCTGTGACAGCTTAGATAGTGTGAAGAAAAATGCATAACTCCGACCTGCATGTAATAAATCTCAGTTGGTCTTTTGCACACAACTTCATGCGTTTTCTAAAGAAGTTTGATAAGTTAATCATAATATTAAATTAAATTAAATAAAAATTATTTTTTAATAAAAAAAATATTTGGTTGTTTGTTTGTTTGGTTTTATGGGTGACACCAAGAAAAAATGGGGGTCACACTGTGAACTACCTCAGTAAATGCGTAGCCCGGGCAGTGTAGAATGGAGGTAGGACTGTGATCATATATAGCAATGCAAAAGTTACTGAGAAAAAGACGTATATAGATTGCACCACCGTGGAGTGTGTGAGGAGGACCCAGGAGCAGACGCAGGCAAGGAGACAGACTGTTCCAACAAAAGGCGAGCCTTTATTTCAGGCTAATATACGTGGAACATAAAAGAAAGTGAAAACAAACTAGAGCCCAAAAAGACTGAGAAACTCTGACTTCACAAAGAAAACTATGAATCAACTATGGTACTAAGACTAAGGCTATGAACTAACAAGGAAGCTATGATGACGGTGACTACTATGACTGTGAACTATGACATTAACTATGATCTTTGAACTGTGACTTGACATGGGAAAAATAGCACGATCCGACAAAGACTGAAGGGAAACACACAGACTAAGTACACACAAGGGGTGATCATGGGAAGTGGAAACACATGAGGAAACAGCCAGCACAATAAATCATAATGACACGATAGGGAAAGTGTAAACTAAGCACATAGAACATGGAAACGAGACTTTAAAAATAAACAGGAAACATGACGGGACGCAGACAAGAAACATGGTTGACAACATGAACCACGCAGACATGAAATATGACAGCTTAAGATATGAACCAACAAGAAAGGCCTAACCACAGGGGGCGAACACACAAATGGCTCTAAAAAGCAAAGAACTAAAACAGAGCAATTTAGGAGGTAATATCTAAATTAACTTAACATAAACAATGAATAGCAAAATACAAGGAAAATCAGATCCTAATTAATTATAGCAACAACCAGAATTTAACATATCTTCAATAACATACGTCAAAAATAAAAACTGAACTCAAAATGCTGGGTCACAGACCCAGCCCGTGACAGATGCACTGGTTTACTGAAGAAACCCAAGAAAAAAAGATACGTGATAAAGCACAAGGGCAAACTAAAATCAAAGAAGAAAAACTGGAAAGAAAAATAAAAGATGGTTAAAAAAATTGACCTTTTTTCAGTTGTTCAGATTTGAGGACGAGTTTGGTCTAAACAAATAGTGATAGTTGGGGATGGATATGAGAAAAAAATAACTAAAATAATGCCACTGAAAATGTTGTTGTCTCACCAACATATACTGCACTGAATATCCTACTACCAGTGGAATTACTGGACTACTTCATGAATCAAAGGAGATTACAACAGAGGACACATAATAAATAATTTCAGAATACAGCATTAGAAAATGTTATACTCTATTCCTAAAATAATTACCTTACCTTACCCTTTGTTATCTCTCTGTGTACTCCAGAGAGATAACAAAGGGTAAGTCTGAAAGAATGCTGCAAATTCCTTGAATGAATCCTTAAAAAGAATGCCAAGAATTTCAAAAAGGTTCCAAGGACTCTACATAAGAGGTCAACCTCAATTACAACATTAAATCTTCCTTATACATTAATAATAAAAAAATCTATAATAAATAGTGTAGATTTCCAGTAGATAAATGGGTGCTTTATCACTTTTCTCTCCTTCATAACTCGCTGTCATCTTGCTTTCTCCCTCTGCTGCTCTTGCACACTGTGTCCATCACCATTATTTGGCTATGATCATGGTGCTGAAGAAGATTTTGTACCTTTGTCAGCATCTGCCTGAAGGGACAGATTTCCTTTTTCTTTGAGCCCCTGTTTTCTCCAATTCTGTTTTGCACTTTATGTATTTTGGCACTTTATTTATTTATTTTTTGTTGTTGTTGTTTTGTTTTTAGGTATGAGGTTCAAGGAAATAAGCCCCAAATATGGAGAATTTAAATTTTTTCAACAGGCTGTTTTGGCTTTAACACCACTTCACTGACTGGAGAAATTTGTATTAGTGTACTTTGAAGTATAGTTTGTTTAATTAACAGTTAGATTTTCTTAAACTATTAACTATTTAAACCAATTATTTTATCATATTATTATCAGTATGACCAAAGTCATTAAAACATCTCAGTCAGAATATACTTTAAATTGCAAATTCATTTCAGGAATTTATTAAATAAAATCCCAAACCCACATATCAGTGTAAATGAATTCAAAATTCAAACTTCTGTGCACACAGCTTGGACTGATCAGTCGGTTTTTGAAAGGATAGCTCAACATTTTGGAAAAATATGTTTAGTCACTCCTTATCCACACAAGGAGTGATTTGCCAATGGCACATCACTTTGTGGTTGATGTTTGGCTGCTTGCAAAAATTCCAGTCTCCGGTTGCCTAGATAACCCTCTAGGTTACCCTGTTTACCCTACCCTGTCAATAAAATGCATCCTGCACTCTCGTTAGTATTTGCTTTAGTTATTCGCCTCAAAGCTTAGAAAAGCCTTCTACACAGGCAGTTTCAGCAAAAAAGAACAAAGAATAATAAGCTAAATCCACACCTGAATAGCTGCTTTAATAGTAACAATCCATATAAATTTCACTCAGTAATAAACTGAATTTGATAACTGGGATTGGCACCAGCTCCCCCACAGCCCTGAATTGGATAAGCAGAAGAAAATGGATGGATGGGTGATACTGCAGCAAATGCAGAATATAGCAGTTATTGCATGTTCATCCTGGGGGAATGTTTAGTGTCGCTATCTTAAAAAAAAAAAAAAAAACCTGAATATAAGCCAGGGAAGGGAAAAGGAAACCAAGGAGGAATACAAACAATATGCCTCAGTGTGTGATTAAAAAAACCTTTTCAACCTTAGCTATCTTTTGCTACAATAAAATCATATCATATTGCTTTGTTCTCTCTTTTAGAATTGCAAGTTTATCAAAACTTTTTCCAACGCTGATGCTGTACAAGCTGTGGGAGGACGGGAAGATTGGCTCTCTTGATGACCCTCTGGAGAAATATGTGGAGAACTTCACCATCAAAAACCCTCTGGGGAAGATGCGAGACTCCGAGTTGAAATATGTGACAGATGGCCTGATATTTCTCGACAGTGGAGAAGTTCAGATCCGCTCATCTTCAGTCACTCTACGGAGGATGGCTAGCCAGCTCTCGGGTACATATTTATACTATATCCCTATGACCTTAAAATAACACTGAATTTTAGTCTTTTCTTGTTAAAAGAAAACAAAATGCTTCAGCAAAGCGGCAGTTGACTTTTGGGTTTGCATGAAACAGCTTTTTGTCAGCCAATAAACAGAAATTTATAAATCACAAATTTATCTATATCTATAATTCATGTGTTAAATATCTGATTGAACTTTAAATAATTTCAACCAGCTACTATTGTGACACCAAAACAGCCCTGACCTGCCACGGCATGGACTCTTCTAGACCCCTGAAAATGTGATGTGGTATTTGGCACGAAAATGTTAGCAACAGATCATTGAAGGTGCTGCAAGCTCTGAGTGGGGCCTCCGTGGGCTGGACTTGTTTGTCCAGCACATCGTACAGATGCTCCATTGGACTGACACCTGGGGAATTTGGAGACCAAGTCAACACCTCAAACTCATTGTTGTGCTTCTCAAACCTTTCCTAAACCATTTTTGCTTCATGGCAGGGGCACGTTATCCTAGTCAAAGCAGCCACAGCTAGATACCACACCTTTCTATTAGAACTAGCATGAACTTTTCAGCAATTTAAGCTAAAGTAGCTCGTCTGCTGGATCAGGCAACAGGTGACAGTTTTTGTTCCCGATGTGTGTTAATGGCCCCTCATGAACCTGTCGCTGGTTCACCACTGTTCCTTCCTTGGATCAATTTCGATAGTTTTATAGGTGCCCGGAACCAGCCATCACAATTTCACTCGCAATCCTTTCAGTTACATATTTTTGCTGCTTCTAACACATCAACTCTTAGGACAAAATATTCACTTACTCCCTAATATCTTCCACCCACTAACAGGTGATGAAGAGATAATTAGTGTTATTCACTTCGCCTGTCAGTGGTCATAATGTTATGCCTGATTAGCACATACATGACTGTATGGTTTTCCATACTGGCCTAATAAGGAGGCTGATTTTGCCAGTGGTCCAACTTGCAGAAATATTGTCTCGCCCTCTCCTTTGAGAGAATGTTTATCAAAGGTCTGCTATTCTTTTTCTATCTCTCTTCCGCCTCTTCCAGTTCCCAGTTATTCCAGTGTTGTTCGTGCAGTTGACCTTTTATTATCCCAGGAGATTTGGTGGCAGACAAAATTGCACAGTGAAAGTGAAGCTTCTTGGGAACCATTCTAAATGCACTGTTCAACAGCCTATCAAAAATATCAGAAAAACAAAATGAGACCAACTTTGAGAGTATGTGCCTCAAGAAACAAGTTTTTGATGGAAAACCTCTTGAGATAATTTCCTTTCAGAGGAAGAAAGAATCCCAAGAGCCATTAGCTTGCAGTTAACATCAAAAGCTAAAGCAAAGAAAATTAGCTGTTGCCACTTCAAGGTTGAATTTATAATCAAGCTGGAACAATAGAAGGGAACAAAGAGACGAAAGAGGTTTCTAGGAAAGCTCTTGCTACATGCTTGATTCCTGCGACAATATCTATTTATTTATTTGGCAATAATATTTCTGGAGACTAATGATGCTTTATGGATCGATTTTGAGCTGAAGCAAATGATTCATGAACTGATGATCCAAGTGGCAGTAAACCTACTATTACTGTGTCACAATGAAGAATTTGGTGCTTTTCCACAGCACAATAAATTCAGTCCGTCTGGATTTTGAAGAGTGGTTCAGACCCCTCAGTAATATGAAGGTGTCTTTAGAAAGTTGCCAATTTTCTGACATATTCTGACAAACAATTAATGAATGAAGGACAAAAACAATGTAGCTGGTTTGACCTCCCTTTTTATGGCGGAGGCGATCGTAGCTCAAGAGTTGGGAGTTTGCCTTGTAATAGGGAGGCTGCCGGTTTGAGACCCGGCTCCGACAGTCTTGATCGTTGTGTCCTTGGGCAAGACACTTCACCCGTTGCCTACTGGTGGTGGTCAGAGGGCCCGGTGGCGCCAGTGTCCGGCAGCCTCGCCTCTGTCAGTGCGCCCCAGGGTGGCTGTGGCTACAATGTAGCTTGCTATCACCAGTGTGTGAATGTGTGTGTGAATGGGTGGATGTGTAAAGCACTTTGGGGTCCTTAGGGACTAGTAAGGCGCTATACAAATACAGGCCATTTACCATTTTGTCATTTAAAGCCATTTAAAATCCCTTCCTACTGTTCTTCTAATTTAATCTTAAACATCTATGATCTTTTCACTTTCATTGATATGCATAAGTAAAGCAGACATTTAAAGGCGCTTGCACTACTTGCAGTAAAAAAATATCCAACCCTCAGGTGCTGTTTAGACTTGTAACATTTATTCAGATAAGACTTCAGATAAGAGTTGCAATGAACATGCCTAAGCAGGAAACGGTTTATCTGAAGAAGTTTTCAATAAGTAACACTTCTGTCTGTGTAAAGAATTAAAATATGAGACGCTCATCTATTGCAAGGAAGGATAATAGGTCTTTAAATATCCAACCATGTCTCACAATTTGTCAACAAGTCAGAGTGGCTGAACATCATAAACCTTTATAGACAACTGGTCAAATATATCACGTACAAAGAAAGTGCTGTTATAAGGTAAATGAAATAACTATTAGAGTGAAATATAAAGTGATGATATGTGTTTGAGAAGGCTAAAGTATACTAATGCAATTCACCCTTTGTTTTTGTGTTTTTATTTACAAATTTTACTTTTCATTTTATTTATTTTTTTAAATTTAACACTGTTTTGCTGTTGTTTAATCCAGGCCTGCCCAGGAGGCTCCGAGCTACAAATTTGCTTTGGAAAGGAAAAACTCAATCTGCAATCAATCTTCTACAAGATGATGTCCTCGTCTCGGATCCAGGCACCAAGTATGATTTCTTTCATTGTGGTGACATCAGTGTTTTCATGGGGAAATTCTAACCAAGCAAATAAGTGTTCCTGCAATGTACAAATATTATTCTGTTACTTATTTCTTACATTAGAACTACATTCTGCTTCGTAATGACAAAAACTGTAATTACAATAATCCCTCTTGATGCTACTTAGATTTTACCTGGGGAGGATGTATAATTAAATGTCAAGTTTAATTAGCTCAGGTCTTTCCACATACTGTACCTGTCTCTACATATTACACTGATTAGTAAAATATTTGACCTTTGAGTAAACAAGTGTTTTCAAGTGATATTTTAATATCTCCAGCACCACATTGTGTTTGTATTAAACCTGCAGGGACCTGAGCTCAACTAAGAAATAGTCCATCAAATATGATTTGGAAGCAACGTGTCATTTTTATTCTTTAATATTTGTCCCGATGAAACAAACAAGAGTTAATATTTGAGTAAATCGGTCTTTAACCTGCTAGCTCCATACTGCAAAGTCTCTGTGATGTTGTACTGCACCCCCAAGGGAGCAGTCTATATTGCGTTCTCTGCTAGTGAATGGGATTTTTATGTGCTAGGCTTCCTGCATTTTCTGTCCAAAGAGCGCGCTCACTTAAATTACATGGAATATTTCAAGTATGGTGATATTTAAACGTGAATTATCATGTATTCTTCTTCATTCTCCCAATGCTTTTTATATTTGTTCTTGCAGATGTCACTACAGTAACCTTGCCTTCTCACTACTCGCTCATGTGATGGCAGAGCGAGTGGCCGGAGTTGACTACCAGCAATGGATCACAGAGAACATCCTGGACCGGCTGGGGATGGAAGACACCAGCTTTGACCTCACCCCAGGGATGCAGAGCCAATTGGCTGTTGGAGTGTACTCAAATGGAAAACCAGCCCCACTCTATGACCTCGGCTGGTATCGGCCTTCTGGTCAGATGTTCTCAACAGCTGCAGATTTGGCCAAGCTTGCCATGATGCTGCTGGGTGCGTATCATCGCAAGCTGCTGGAGCCAGACTCTTTGAAGATTATGCTGACCCCACTCTTTAGGTGCGATAAGGATTATTTTGCTAACCGTACTGGAACGCCATGGGAGGTGAATGAGCTGATGGGCTATGAACTGTTGCGTAAAGATGGGGATTTGGATGGCTACTCTGCCACTTTTTCCCTGGTTCCCAGACTGAAGCTTGGCCTAGTGGTGCTAATGGCAGGCAGCCGATCTCAGAAACAGGATGTAGTCACAAAGGCCTACAACCACATTGTCCCAGCCATAGAGAGAGCCTTCAGGGAGGCCAAAAAGGTCCTTGTTGCTCCTCCAAACCCTGATCATTACATTGGATTTTTCACTTACAGCAACATCACTTTCTATGAGATCAAAGTAGGGCCAGACGGAGTCCTTATCATGCAGCAGTTTGGTCCTCAGATTGAAGAGCTCATACCAGAGAAGTACAGGACAATAAAACTTAACTACCTGGTTGATCGTGTGTTTAAAGTGGTGTTTGAAAAAGAGTACCCTTGTGTTTTGCAAGTCGGCACCGCTTCAGTGTCCCTGGAAGCTCAAGATGGCCAATTATTTAACTTCTACGTGTTTAATAAGCAGGGTTTATCTCCAGGTTTTGATGCACCAGGGCTGAACACATATAACGTGGTCAGAATACCCCGTAGGCCATCCTTCTCCAGCTGAATTGCAACCGTGTTGTGGCCTAAAGACAAACGTTGTGTCCTTGGGATGTGTAAGGGGATGTAAATAGACATTATAAAATATCAAAAGACTGAAGTGAGATGTTGTGATTATTCTAGAGGTCAAAGACATGATATTGCTTTTGATATACAGAGAGCACAGATAAGCATGACATGTTCATCCAGCTGTATAATGTCCTTCAGAGAAAATGTATTAAATTCACTTCTGAACAATGCATATAAATATCCTTCGCACGCTGGCCCTTCATTACACTTGAGAACTAAACAATTCGCACTGTGGTGGGAGTGCTTGTGTTTTTTTCCTGTGCTTCATTTGAATTTCACATCGTAGTGTCTTTCTTTTCTTGAGTTTTCATCAGACAGAACTGGAGAACAACTCTTATTGTGGCCATTTACATGAAGAGTTACATTCATTCTATATTCAACTCTTAAACTGTGATTGAAGTTGGATGAAATATGTCACTCATACATATTCATCTTTCTCTGGAAAACAATGTGTTTGTGTTACTTTACTCATGGCAGGTAGAAGTAGAACATTTAAATGGCAAACTGGAATGTCACCTATTAAATAGGTATATTGCCACAGATTTGAAACTGCTGGGTTAAAAGCAACAAACAAGCACCGACATGTCACTAAGGTACAAATTGTTTTTGCTCCACAATAAGAGGCGATTAAGGACAGGAACACTTCTGGGTGCCTGTGTGACTCTTTTCTGTATAATCCCTGAAAATGGACTCATTCATACCGACCTCTAACACCAATATGAATATGAATACTCCACTCTGAATGCTGCGAGAAGATAACACATTCAAGAGAACAAAAGTAACGTATAATGCAAAGGCCGATATTTTGTTTTGTATTAGACAGCATGTCTGAGAATTTTATGGAAATGAAATCTGTATTGAAAATGTTGTTTAGTGTTCAAGCATCCAGTCCAGTGAGTGAAAGTGAGCGAATGTGAATGCAAATCTCCCTACTGTATCCATTTCATCCTGCTGTGGCTTGCAGAACCGCCATTCTGCTATTCAATTCAATGTTGTCACAGCTGACTGATTAAAGCTTATTCTGATCAATAGTGGAAAGCATAAAATATAATTTGACTCGTGCGGTGTAGTGGAAAATTAAAACAAAAAACAAAAAAACAAAACACGTATTATACCATGCATCAATTCTCAACCATTGCTCAAAGGATTGGCCAATATGCTGAAAATTCTCAACCATAATAACAGCTGTCAGTATATTTAGAGGTGTGTGTGTGTGTGTGTGTGTGTGTGTGTGTGTGTGTGTGTGTGTGTGTGCGCGTGTATGCAGTGCCCCTGCTTCAACAGTAATCATTCATAACAAAAAAGTGTAGAAAACCACCTGCTGGAAAGCCAACAGCGAGGCCAATGGGCCTAAAAGAGATAACTGGTTCAAGGATACCTAAATAATAAGCAAAAAGGTAAGAATAACATATTCTATTGCTAAGTGAGGTGGGTATACAGCCTGTAATATGTGGTGGGATTGGTGAAGACTACCACATATTTAGGCCAGCAACACAAGGGCAGTAGGACAACTTACTAGTGACTCTAAAGACACAATACATTCAACCAGTCAATCTGTCCTACCTTATTATTTTGATTCAAACCACACTAGGTCTATAAACTCTTGTGGAAAAAGAAATTTCATAATGCAATCACGGTGATGAATAAACTCTTCAGTTTCATGGTTCCGTAATCAAAATGACAGCACTCTAATAATGTGTTTCCAGCATTTACATAGTTCAAGCATGTGACAGCTATGTATATAGACTGCTTAATATTTATTTTGCTTTTGAATTAGCCATTGCACAATAGCCATAATCAGTTTTCATTTTTGCAATCACAGTGAACAACAGCTTACCGGCTGGCCATGCAAGAGAAAAAACCCCAAAAACATTAGCAACAGCTCACAATAAATTATCACATTCTTTGTCCCACTGAAACACAGAGACATATACTACTTCTTTTTGCAAATTAGCATCACGTTAATTTTCAGGTACAACATATCAATTACAACATGTAATCATTTGGCTCAGATCGATCTGATTTTCCACTTTCTGACATAAGGCATACAGCAGTTAAAAAATAAGACAGCAGGTAAAATGTGCAGGCACTGTTGTCAAATATGATTCAAAGCTTCAAACAAAGGATAAATAATCATTTTACATCCAAGCTTTTTAGTGACATGTGATAAGTTTAAATAAAATAGCAAAACATACTGGAAATTATGCTTATCCACATCCTTTGCTAGGATTATATGAGAATATCCATAATACTACTGCTAAATATGATACTGGAGCTACAGGAAAGCTAAGCAACTAAAGACTGTAAATATAGGCGGACGGTTAGCTTGGCTCTCAAAGATTTAAAAAACAAATATATGCCCTTTACCTTTACAATGTATTTTTAACGGTATCTTGATATTTAAAAAAAGGGGGGTTTCTTTCACATTCAACCTCCTATCCTGTCAACCATATTTTTCCTCCACCATCACTAAACATCAGGGGGTCCCGTCCCAGTCCCCAATAACATCATGCTCCATAGTCTCATCAGCCTAACTGCCAAAAATTCATACATTTCCAGTGTCATGATTTTGCAGTAGATTTTGTTATTTTCTTCCAAATGATCTCTCTTTGCACTAAAATACAACATGAAAGCAACTTTTGGATTTACATGGCTCATCAACTAGAACCTTTTTTTTACTTTTGAGATGAGCCAATGTTAATAAAAGGGTCAGAGACAAGCAGACGAGACAGTTTCATTACATTATGACACAGACTACTTGTCCTCATTTGTTTCAAGTCTCCGTTCTAAGCTAAGCTCATTTTCTTCTGGCAGTATTCATCATACAGCATCATGTCAGCAAATTCTGGAAACAAATAAACCTAAGATCCAAAATGTTAACCTGTCAGTTTACAATATTTCTGCACCAGCTGCTTTCTAGCTTGTTCAAATAAAAAGTCAGAATACAGAGGTCTTGCACGTTGTGTCTGTACAAGCACATGTGAGGATTTCAGTGTCCATACTCAGTGTCATATTAGGGGACAGCAAAGGGATGAAAGCATTAGAGTCCTTCCCCTCGGCCTGACCCCTTGAACTTGCAACGGAGGGATCCAGCAAAATTTTAGGAAAAGGAGGGGAGTCTCTGACAGAGTTATTGTCCTCCCCCTGGGAACAAACAAGTTCTCGAAAACACTCTCTGAACCGCGTGGAGAGCAGGCTGTAGATGATAGGGTTGACTGCAGAGCTGAGGTAGAAGAAGACGCCCGACAGGATGTGGACATATTGATAAATGTTGTGCATCAAGTCGGTCCACTGGCTGATAGAGCTCCACAGAAGACGCTCGATGTGAAAGGGTGCCCAGCAGACTCCAAACACTGCCACCACGATTGCTGGAGAGAAAGATGATGAATACATTTATTTT